TTCTGCACAGGGCTGCAGGGCAGACCACAGCTCCTCTCACTCAAGCTCCTGCCGGGCCTCCTTTGCCCTGCTTGCCTTCCCACTGTCTCCATTTAATGCCCAGTGCTCTTGGCCGGACGGTTCCTCCTGCCGGGAATGCCCTTCCCAGTACCCTGTGTCCTGGAAAACTTCTACACTTCCCTCCAAACCACGCTCTGAGGGCCCCTCCCCGCCCTCCTCCCCTGGGGCCCTCCTCACAGCACCTGCTAAGACAGTGACCACACTGTCCTGCGGACGGTCACACAGCCTCCCTCTATCCCTGGACAAGTCCCGGAGCTGCGGTGTGCTCGGTGAACCCGAGCAGCCCACGCAACAAGGCAGTCAAGCGAGATGCTGTTCAGAACCTGTTTCCACACCTGCTCTGGTCTTGGGGGCTCAGGACACATTCATTCATCATTCTGGAAGCTCAAAAACAACCCATGTGCTGAGGCAGTGGCCATTCGGGGGGTGGTTCTCCGATGCTGGGCTGCTGTTCCCAGTCTCAGCGGCAGTGCTGTGCTTTCTTCATACAGCTGAAGCACACTTCTTCCTTTTGGGTTGTTTTAAACCTGAAGTGAAGGCAGCACCTCATTTCAGAGGCACCGGGCTCTTCTCAGGCAAACAGAAACCCTTTACAACTGTGCCCACAATGCAGTCCGTTTCCTCAGCATCCTCTGCACAGGGGTTGGGGGGTGGGGGGTGTTTGCATTTTTATAGCCCTTGAATTGCTCCGCTCAGTGTCAGAGCCGTGTGATTAGAACCTCAAAGGTGCTTTCATTTGCGTTTTCAAAGTTGTCTCAGTGCCTGTGTGCAGGAAGCCACCAACTTCCAGCACGGTGCCCTCCTCTCCAGCTGGAACCGCGCTCCCTGCCTCCTCGGGTTCCTAGGCCCCCGCCACAGCAGGGTAGGGGTCTTCAGCCGCACTCGGGCGAGGACAGACATCCCGCGTCTACGGTTCCTTCCGTCTCCAGGGACTAACGGACGGGAGCTTGTTCCCTAGTGGGGACACAGGGCTCCTTGCCAGCCTTGTCTCCCGTGAAGAGCCGGGACCACCACATGAGGGGTGCTCAGCACTCAGAACTATAGCCAGGAACAGCCCGAAAACCTCCAGCACAGGCTGCTTGGATAATCACTGCGAACGTCTGTTGAGGTGCGCATAGCCGTGCCGGGTAAACGCTCCACGCGGCAGCGCAGCACTCACCGGCACCGCGGAGGTCTACTTACGCGCCAAGCACTGCACATGCTTTCGACCTAAGTCGGCTCATCTGACCCCCGCAACTGCAAGAAGCTGGTACTTAGCATTATACTGATCAGAAGCTAGAAGACAGAGGGGCCAAGCCACTTGTCCACGGTCACACACAGGGCTGAATGAAGACTCCTGGGCCCAACCTCCCAGCTTTAGGGTGCACGTGGGTTCCCAGAGCCCCAGCAACACTGGCTGGCTGCCTCCCGGGACCCACTCCCTACAACCTCTTCTCTTACATGCCCTTAGGGGCACCAGGGCTAAAGCCACGTGGGCTCAGGCAGCAAAGCTTACAGCTACCAGACAGACTGTGCTTTGCAGGGCACGCCACTGTGGTCGGGATGGAGTAGAGCACTGTGCCCAGGAGGAACGGTGGTTCGCGGCCACGGGAAGGCTTTGTGCTTGCTGGGAGGTCAGTTGGCAGGAAGATCATCATGGGCCTCTCCAGGCTACAAGTTCTCCCTATGGGATGGACCTTCAGCGTGTCCCCTAGCCTCCAACCCACTGCTGCATACCCCACAGCCAGCTACGAGCCCCCCGCCCTCCCATCAGGAGCCCGGTGCAACCTCCTCTTGGGTGAAGTGTGTGGGTCTCACAACTGTGCAGTCCCTGTCGGGTCCCCAGGGTCAAAGGACATTCCCCCAGGTCACAAGGCAGGAGCCAAGGCCGAGACACTTTGCTAGTGGGGCGCTCCCGGTCTAGCAGGCAAAGTCCAGATCCCAGGCCTCTGCCTGGCAGTGACCTCTGCTTGGAGCTGACCAGGCCATGCAGCATGTTTGTGTCCAGCTAAGTAACTGTCGGGCAAAAGGTAACTCCTGGCCACCTGGCTGGCTGCCTCCCTGGACCCACTCCCAAAACCTCTTCCGTCCCCTTAGGGGCATCAGGGCTAAACCCAGGGGCGCTCAGGCAGCAAAGCTTACAGCTACCAGACTGTGCTTTTCAGGGGATGCCACTGTGGCCCAGATGGCACGCAGCACCTTCCCCAGGAGGAACACGGGAAGGGTCTGTGCTTCTGGGCACCAAGAGGCAGAAACAGGCAGGGGAAGGGAACAGGCTCTGCCTTGGAGGGGCTCTGTGCAGGGCATGAGGGAGAAGGGCGCCCACAGGGCCAGCTGTGCCTGAAAATGGGCTCAGGGAGTGGGCAGTGCCATGCACTTAGCAACCTTTTGGGTCTTGAGTACCATGCTGAGACAAGGAACTTCATCTTGGGGGCACTGGGGAGCCACAGGTACTTGGCACCAGGAGAATTCGTGTGGGAAGCTGGGTAGCAACCATGCCAGAGCTGCCTTCTAAGGAATGTTGGGGCCAGAGAGAGAACTGAGATCCCCCGAGAGGCCTGGGTGCCAGAGTAGGCGCCGATGCGCCCTCTCTCCCAGGCCAGCTGGGCCCTCGGCGCAGCCAGACACACAGGCTGAAGGAAAGACCCGTGGCAGACGCCTGGGGTCCCACAGGTGTGCGGTCAGACCCCCAAGTCCGGGGACCCATGGGGGATACAGCAGCCCTCCCAGTCTCCAGCCAGAACCGTCTCCACCGGCCTCTTCTGTACTGATAAACTGGTGCCAGATCTGATAAACAAATTCTCAGCCGCCGCAGGCTTAAGGATAATACGCAGCACGGGCCCAGGCTGCTGTCTCATGCCCTCCCCTGCTGCAGGGGACCCAGGCACGGAGCAAGGAGGGGACAGCAAACAAGGGGAGTCACAGGCAGTCACAGGGCCCAACCCGGGCCACTAAGCCAGGCGGTGCCTCCACCCGCAGACAGAGGCTCGGTGCAGCCCCACCCCAACCCCATGCACAACAGAGGGCCTGGCCAAGTGGGCGGGCTGGGGACTCAGGGTCCTTGGCTGGCTCTCTGGGGCCAGTTTCCAGTCTCGGGACACGTGGCTTCTGACCCCAGCGAGGCCCACAGGGAGCAGTCTTCCCAGTCCCTCACCCCCAGCTTCAGAAGCTTCAGTCAAGAGTGAAAAGCACAGGCTCTGGAGTCCACAGCCCGGTTCTAAAGCCTGGCTGTGCCATCCCGGGGCTGCGTGACTCCGGCCAAGTCACTCATTCTCCCTGGTCCTCGAGGCCTTCATCTACAAGACGAAGACCAACCGTCTGCCCGGCAAGGATGTGGGAGGACGCACAAGCTCAACACAGCGCCTGGTACACAAAAGTGCTCAAGCAATGTTCCCGGTGCATGTCACGATCTCTACCCAGCCGCCCGAGGGGGCTTCTAACACACAGCTCCAGCATGGCACCTCCACCCCCCAGCCCCCAGCATCGGGCCCAACTCCTCATCCTGTATCCAGGTTGCCTGGAGGACTCAACTTGCATTCCCTGCAGGACACCTGGCCCTCTCTGAGCCCCAGTCACCTCTCCAGCTCTCAAACCACCTGGTCCTCTCTGAGCCCCAGTCACCTCTCCAGCTCTCCGAACCACTAGCTCAAGCCTGCTAGAAGCTTCCAAAGCAGATTCTGGTTTCTGACCATCGGTTCTCCGCCTAGAGCCTCCTCCTGTGGAACTCAGTAAAGATGTGGGTGTCCCTGGGGAGTGCGCCGCAGTAGTTTATGAGAATAAAGCAACCTGGTCAGCCAGGCGACCAGGTGGACTAAAAAAGGGAAGCTGATCACGCTCTGGCTGTCGGCACAAAGCAGGTTACACCCTGCTACAATGAGCCCTATTATAGTTTATAAATAATACAGATTCATAGCCCAGTTTGGTGGTGCATTCCTATAATCCCAGCACTCTAGGAAGCTGAGGCAGGAGGATCACAAGTTTGAGCCCTGCATAGGCATCTTAGTGAGATTCTATCTCAGAATAAAAAAGAAAGAAAGAAAGAAAGAGGCTAGGAATATAGCTCAGTGGTACAGTGCCCATTACCCAATAGAGTAATAATAATAATAACAATAATAATAACAATATAGATTCAGGGTTGCTTGGGTTGCTCACAAGCATAAGGAATCTTACTGGGATAATGAAAACGTTCTACAACTTCACACACCTCAGCAGATTTACTAAAAATCATTGAATGGTATATTTAAAACAGATAAGTCTTATGGTACTTTTTTTATGCAGTTCTAAGGATCAAACCCAGGGTTCTGCACATGCTAAGCAAGTGCTAAGTGCTCTACCACTAAGCTACATCATCAGCCCTTTCTTTTCTTTCTTTTTTTTTTTTGCTTGTTTTCTTGTTTGTTTTTGACACAGGTTCTCACATGAAGTTCAGACTGGCCTTGAACTCACTATGCAGCCTATTCTGGTCTCAAACTCTCAGTGATCCTCCTGTCTCAGCATCCAGAGCACCGGGATTATAGGCATGCACCACCACCCCCCCCAGCATAGTCCTTTTTAAATTTTTTATTTGCAAACAATGTTTCATTAAGTTGCCCAGGCTGGGCTCAAAATTGCAATCCTCCTGTCTCAGCCTCCCAGAGTACCGGCATGACAGGAATGTGCTACAACACCAGCTTTTCTTCCTTTTTTTATGGCACATACATTACACTTCAACCGGTACAGTGAGCCGTGCCTGTAGCCCAGCTACTTGGGAGGCTAAGGCAGGAGGATCGATTGTATCTGGGGTCTGAGGCAACCCTGAGTAACACAGTGAGACCCTGTCTCAAAAACAAATAAATACATAAATAAATAAAACCTCAATAACGTTTTTAAAAAGTAGGTAGTGTTGCCACCCCAACACACATACACGTGAGCAAGCATGAAATAATCCCTCCCATCTTTAATAAAGTTTAACTCTGGGTGTCGGGTTTCGGAAAGATTTTATTTTCTTGTCTTTGTCACCTGCATTTTCTAACTGTCCACAACAAAGAAGTCAGGTTGTGTTACTGGGAAAAAAGACAAAGTCTGAACAGAAGCTGAGAAGTCCTCAACGACAGGGGCAAGAAGGGGGCTTCCTGGTCCTGCGGGCCATGTCTGTCCCCCTCACAGACGGGGGCTCAGGGCGAGCCTGGCCCCTAACTTTCCCGCGCTGCCGGAGCAGGCTAACGTTCCCACCCGCGAGTGCATGAGCTCTGCACCAGGCCAGAGGCCTGGGCACGCCTCGGCTCCCCTGCGAAGACGCCTGCACCCTCATTCTTCCGGAAGGGGAAACTGAGGCTCAGCAGCTGCGGGGACTCACCAGGTGACAGGGGAGGCGAAGTCCCCCACCCAGCCCACGCGCTCCCAGCTCTGCTCACGCCTCTCGGCCGCACCCCGGGGCCGGCGCCCGGGTCAGCGGCAGGAGCTGGGGCGACC